CTTTAATCATTAAAATACATAACAAGTTGAGTAAGTTAAATCATAAGATATAATAATTTAAATCTTACATCATCAAACATGTAATATTAATATTAATGAGAAAACTGCTGGGGAATGCCCACCCATATGCTGCACCGCTGCTGAACTGTTCCGGACCGCAGTGGTATTCAAAGTTTTAAGCTTACCTCTTCCGTTTTTTGCTTCCAACTTTGATCAGATTTAACTTGCCACTGAATATTATCTTGCCCTTTCCACTTCTGCAGCTTATTGATTTTAGAGGAGTTCATCATGCGGTTTCATCATTTTTGATATTCGTAATTAAGAGCTATAAGGGGCTGTAAAGCGGAAGGGCCACATATTCAGTTTCTCTGGTGAAAATTAAAGAAAGCCTTCATGAAAGCAAACGTTTGAATCCATGCGTACTAAGGTTTCGAGATTCGTCGTCATGGAGTTATTCATGCTTCATGTTTATTCTACGCGCACATTGTACCCGCCGCCTTACGGGGCTGGTGCTACGGAAGACCCTGTGCTGCAACGCCAGTAGAAACACGGAAGCTTATCTTTGCTGGTAAAAATAATGGCGCACAGCGATCGGTAGCACAGGCCTGTCGCAAAGGCCGCGAAACGGAGAAGAACGAGGCACCTCATACCTCACGCCGATACCTAGGCAATCCATTGATTCGTATGGTCTCCTACCTCACGGCCTCCTACTCGAAACCGACGACAGCAACCCGCGGAGAAGCGGCGGCGAAGTCCGTGACAACAATGACAAATTTCCAAAAGCACAATACTGTTGGAAACCAGCGCTTATATAATTCAGAAGCCCGGGAAAACTCCTAACTTGCTCATCCGGACGGCATTTCCCTGAGCTTGGCGAGGATCTAGTTGAATAGCGAAGGATCGACCTGACCTTCATGCCTGACCAAGCTCCAGCATAATCTCTTACAGTCAGCTTTTTCTGCAGTGCTTAATTGTTGCTGATACAGTCACAGTGGTGATTGTGAGAAAGAAAAAGGAAGAGTTGCGCTCATTTCGGCGCACCTTTCTTGCATCGAAGCTCATGAAACGCTCTGCATATTTCTCCAGCACAGACACAACTAGTGTCGAAATGGCCAACACCAGTTTTGAGTCTGTTTTTGCTGAGGATATACAACTCGCGACGTAATAGCCAGCAGGGGAACCAGGTATATTATAGTGAGTTGTCCAGTGCTTTTGTTGGATGCAACCTCGCAGACTGCAGTTTTGTTTTGTCAGACGGTTCAGCTGTAACGTTCTGGACGAGGAGGAGCTGGAGCTGGGGTGCCTGCTTGCGGAGATGTGCAACACCAAGCAACTAGACCCACTTCTTTATTAGTGCAGTATTAAAGAAATCAAAAAGAGTAAACGAACCCCAGCAATCGCCCGGCAGCCCAGCAGCTCCAAACTGCCACCGGACACATAGAATAGCTTCAGACGGCACCAGCTCCAAGCTGCCGCCGCGCACATCCAGATCGCGCAAAACATGGCAATTACAATAACAATTTCATTTTCAGTCATCACATTAAATATCACGGAGGGGGGAACTCGAGCCAGGAGACGGGACATTTGCGTGTTATAGGAAACCGAAGGGCAACTGGACAAGGCGAAAGGGGTTGAGCCTTCAACTTCGCTCCCTTGTTACTCGCTCCTTCTTCATTTTGCAACACAGCTGTTTCTTTAGCTACCTTCTGCGCTCCTGCTTCTTAGTTTTACTTTCCTTTATTCGTTTTTATGACGATTTTGACATCCTTCTAAAGGCTGTCACTTCTCTCTCTCTGTCGCATCTGCTTCCTCCGTCTTCATTGTCGTCCTCCAAATTCTCCGATGCGTTCGTGGTTTTCGGGTAATTGATTGGTTTATGCCTGTTTAACTCACTTATTTGGCATTTTGCAGGGTGTTCAGTTTGCTGTCATTCTGCATGAATCACGAGCACTGAGTGAGCAGAAGCAAAGAAATCTTCGATGCTCATTGTAAATACCGTGATGTGTGCCTTCCGTCTGCTGTATATCGCGATAACTTGTTATCACATAAATATATCTATAATAGAGAGATATCAGTAGCTGTCCTTCAGCACGGTGTTATTCCGCTTTTTGTCTATTTTTGTGAAATTCGTATGTTAAAGCGAAATCTGAGCTTGTTCCATTTTCGGGTAATGCCGTGACACTGAAGCAGTGCTGGCCAGTGCAAAAAAAGACTGTTACAGTGTATTGCAGCTGATATTACTGCTGCTACTACTACTGTTTCATTAGCGCCTGGCTGTACTGGAGCCCCCAAATGACGGTTGAATTGTTAAATGCAAAACTTCCAACAACGTTACTACGAAAAATCGATTGCAAGCAAGGGGCTGTAAGAGCGGTCAGATACAGCGGTTCGTCTTTTTTTTCGCCATTTCTTTTCGTTTCTGGGCACTTTCTGAGAAATTATTTGCTTTGTGGAATATCTGATCATTATGTATGCTCTGTTCTTGACATTGTTTAGTGGATGGTAACTACTGTTTGTCGTGTGGAGCGGATAAAACAGTGAAGCTATGGAATCCGTACAAAGGAACACTGCTGAAAACATATACAGGAACAGGCTGGGAGGTGAGCACGTACAACTTACTAAAATGCACTTCCAGCTCGCCAGTTCCACCTCTTTTTATGCGTTTTTTGCAGCTATGCAATGCAAAAACGCATATTGACGAGGGGTTGTCTGTGCTTCTGTTATGCATTTTCATCTCAAGACCTGTAAAAACTACAGGGCTGAAATTTCGAGAATTTAATCTACATGCACGTACGGTCCCAGTCCCCAAAATGGGCGCCATCACCCGCGCGGTACCCGCGTACAGGTCCTCCAAAATTTTTTTCGGCTAAGCTCATAATATCGGGGATCTGAGAAGCTAGAATGCTGGAATCTCAAAGGGATGAATTGGACTTCGCTTGTTCGGCTCATTGGAATTCATTCCAGTTACCACAAAATTTGCTTCATTTTAAACTCTGTGGTAATTTTGTAGGTACTTGATGCCAAAGGTTCAAGCGACAACTCGATGATTCTTGCGGGCGGCATGGATAAGCAGCTTACAGTGTTCGATGTTGAAACTGGAAAGATCACTCGGCGTTGGCGTGGTCATAACGGTTTGTTTCTTTAAAAAATTACTTGCAGAATGACTTTTTTGTTATGTTTGATTGCTTGCACCAGCAGATTGGAGTCCTACTTTGTGTAGCATCACCGTGTTGACCCCGTCTTCCAGTGCTGTGTAGAGTGAATAGAAGTTCAGCAAGTCCGGGAAGGTTTGTATGTGTATGTATGTGTGTATGTATGTATGTATGTATGTATGTATGT